ACGAGGAATTTAAAGCCTATGTCAGGAACCATCGCGACGCATGGGTCTACACATGCGTAGGTGTCTGCCGAGACGTATAGGTGGCAGGGCACTAGGACCCAGGCGCACCGTCATCTGGACAGTACTAGGCAGGCACTGGGACCCAGGCTACGCCTGTCAGGTGCAGGGCGGGCTATTTAAACTAGCCCTGCACAGACACGTGTTCCCGAATGGTCTTTGTATCCTGTTACCTGTGTGTGAGTACTTCTGATCTGGATTGTTTTGACCTTTTTTTGCCTTCTCCCGTCCTAACCCCTTGGCTTGCCTGACTCTGCTCCTGGATGTTCCCGTTTAGATCTGACCTCCTGGTATTGACCCTGCGTGTGACCCGACTATCCTTTGCCTACCGTTTTGTACCTTACCGACCCGCTAGTTACCAAACCCGGCCTGCATGACTCTGATTTAGCTCATCCATCCACCCATCCCGCAGGGATCACTAGGCTCCCTTACATCAGTCTCCTAGCTCTCTGGAGCCCCTGTCAGACTCCTCTACCCCTGTTGGAGATACCTGATAGTTGCGACCTGGTACTGGAGCGCTCCAAGTCCATCCCCACCATCAGGGGCCCTGGTGAACAAGTGCTCCGGTGCTTAGACTCCGCACTCTGGGGAGGCTCTACCAGGGGACTGATAGAGGTGCTGTCAGGTGGTCCGTTACAGCCTAACTCCGGGTTTCTTGTGACTTTAAGCTGGTCCAAACTAAGTGTTTGCTTTACTCACAGATGCGCCTACTGGGAACACTACTGTATATAAACTGTACATCGCATCGGCTACTGTACATACAGCATACGGCTCCTTATCGGCAGCAGGACTGGGACTTCCTACCCTGTTTCTAGCAATTTGTATCTTTTATATGTGCTTGGCGTTCATCTTTAAACCGTCTGGCCTTGTGTGAATTCTTGCATATCTGTACTAAAAAATCACACTGCCCGCCCCACAAGTAGACAATCCAAGGTCACCAGCCAATCAGACAAGCTTGAGGAGCTCTTACCATTCCTCCCATATAAAACCTTTACCTTGTGACATTTGGACAGACTTAACAAGTATTAAACTAGCAGCTTCCATTTATTTGTATCTCTAATGGCAACTTTTCTGCTCAGCCACTGACTAATGTCCTTATTACATTGTCCATGAGCTATGGAACCTTTATATGGTTTTGTAATGAGAAGCGTTCATTAATCTGCGTTTCTCCAGATAGACCAGGACTTTATTTCAGTCTGTCACACATGTGTTCTTTGCATTATGGGCTCAATTATTTCTCTCGTGTGGTAATGGCAACTCATTGGCTGAGACTGTCCGCTGGGAGACGGATGGGACCCTTTACATGGTGACCTTCAGGTCTGAGAGTGAGAGGTCTGTCCACAATCGATGAAAGAGCTTATATATGAAAGCCGGGATCACAAGAGAACAGACCTAATGTGATAGAGAATCGCAAGAAACGTTGTGATTAACAAGAGAATGTGCTCATTACTGTCTGGGTAAAGTCACAGAAATGAAGGACAATGGAATGAAGATCTAACAAAGTGACCTTCAAATAAGCATTTATGATTCCAGGACACCTATAAAGAAGCCCTTTCAGTTATTTTTCAGATCTGTATACCACCATCTGGACAGGCTCATATCAACCTCTGTGGTTTTCCCTCTCAAACCACAAATTTAATGGCACTTGTAAAATATTTATTCATTTATATTCCCACTGAATGCCTCATCCGGACAATGGTGGAGCTAAAAATGACTATTTAATTGTTTTAAATATGTTTAACTGTGGCCTGTGATGTACATTATCACTATATAGGTTTGTTTTTATAGCAACTATATAAAAGGTGGTTAAAATATACTTAATTTGTGCTGTAATATAGACATCTAAAGGTACAAGGATCGTGCTGTAGTCATTTTTATTAATAAGGTGCTATGAAGTCAGTTAAATGAGGTATCTATGCACATCATGTTTTTGTATTAAACTACTCTGGTGCCACTATGTCTTCTTCTTCAAACTTTTTATTTGAAATAAGAACTGTCAAATGCAGTAGGTAAAGACAACTATTATGGCTCACATTATAAGTGTCAACAAAAGTGAAAACAAAATGGAGAAGGCCAGACAGGAAATTCATAGAGATTGAAAAGCAATGGTTAAGAGGTTTAGAGGGGGGTGGGAGGGGATCCACCCTATGCAAGTGCCAATGGGTGTGAAAGTGGTAGTCATTAAAATTCCAAGAGGAGGCAGTCAAAGTCTTGTGGAAAGTAATGACAGATCCATGGTTCCCAAACACAGTAAAATGTGTTGCATTGGAGCATGGCTGTCAGTTTCTCACTCAGCAAAGTCCAGTGTATTTGACCTCAGACACTGATATATGTTCAGACAACCACACTTCTGCTATCAACTGTTTAGTGGCAGTTAGAACATGGGTCATGAGGATAAATTGATATTTGGATACCCCCTCAGGTTTGTGATTGAGTAGAGCTTCAAGTGGTTTCATAGGAGTGTTTTCTGTAGAAGGGTGTTCAAGATGCCATGTACTTGTAAGCAGGTTGGAAACTGCTTAGGAAAGATAGGGACTGGCCCGGGCTGGGTTGGGAAGAGGTTAATGTGTCTAGTCCCGGTTTGTGGGCTTTTATTGGGGGAAGGCTGGGACCCGAGGGTTTGCTCTGGTGCTGGTGTTCCCACTGAAACTCAAACCAAGGAAAGGCCGTTGTGTTTTGCCTCTCCCACTGAGAGGCCATAACTGCCAAGTTATGGACTTTGCCAAAATGTACTCTCACCTGAACAAGATATGCCTGGGCCATCAATCAGTTTAGCTAAGTTCAGAGGCGGACTGACCATTTGGAAACTCGGGCACTGCTCGAGGGCCCGGGGTCAGTAGGGGCCGCATGAGATGCCCCTGGTACCTTTTTCATAGGCTTTTTTGAGTTTTGGCAAGGTCACAGGGGCCCCATGATCCCCTATTGCCCGGGGGCCCCATGAGTTGTCAGTCCGCCCCTGGCTAAGTTAGGATGTGGACTGTATTACACTTCAATTATGTTGCTCTGAAAATTGGCAGTAAAGTCTGTTAAACCTTTAATGAGCCTGGTCTGAAGTTATTCAAAAGGGTTCATGATGGGGCATCTAAAAGAATCTGGGTCTGTAAAGCACTAGAATAGTATGAAGTACATTGTGCTTCAGTGTCACTTCTGCAAGTCAAGGAAGAACAAGGTGGTTACTAATGGTAACTAAATACAACTGCAAGACACGAGGCAACCAGTCGAGGCATGGTACCTGGGCAAGGTGAGGTACCCTCTGGCAGAGAGGGGTCACTAATTGGGCTCCCTCCCTAGAGTTTCATCTGCCATAGCAACCAGGAACAGACCAACGTTATGAAGGCCCTCAGCTTAACCGTATGGTATGGAAAAGGAAATGTTAATATAGTAAGGGATCAGCACTACGTGTGTGGCGGGATCTCATTCCTTTTACAAAGACTGGAGTAACAGAGGTATGCTAGCTGGTGGAGGTAGCGTGGCTCTACCTGTTACCCTGAATGCAACATACTACATGCAGTGTCAACTCATCTCTAAGTCAGGAGACTGCCCCAATGTGAGGCTGTCCACATGACTGCAGTTACCACCTAGGCTCTGTCATTGGTGCGTGCGCCTTCAGGCAAAGGTACCCTTGGTGCCTGGGCATGATAGGCCCCACACACATGCTTGGACACTGGAGAATTTACTAAAAAATAAAAATAAAAACAACAACAACAAAAACAGTGATGTCAGCTTTGAGCAAAGATATAACCTATAGACTTCAAGGTACAGGATTCAATATGTACATGATTCTGATGTACTTCCAAAGACTTCTTTGATATTCTTAACTTTTACATTGAAAGGGAATTTTATACTAACTGGCCCCTTCTATTTATTTCAACCCCCCCTCCCCCCATCCATGGGGTTAGAAAGTTGGGTCCTGTGTGTACAGAATGCTGCGGTTATTTGCTACACTTGAACCATCGTATTCCTTTCTGTCCAGTAATTAAACTAATGCTGGATTGTGGTTATTTTCAACACAAGGAGCTTCAAGTTACTGGGGAGAGGGGCTGTTCTCTTTGAAATCTACTTTAATGAAAGGGGACTGGAGCAATGATTAGTGTTCAAAAGTAGGAAGGTTCAGCGTGCACGTTCTCTTATTCTAGCTGCTTTAGGGCCATTATTGACAGGCTTTTGTCTGAAATGCTTCCGCCCTCAATACAAGTCCATGGGAATGCAGAAGTAGCTTGAAGCAGATTGATGCAGCTTAGAAGGAGGCCATGTGCAGATCAGAAGGAGGTCAAATGCATCTGTCAATGAATTTTGAATGATTCCTGAAGCATCTCAAACTGATCTCCAATACAGCAGAATGTACCTGAAGGCAAGCTGCACATCAACACAACCCCAAGTGTACGCCCAAAATCCCTCTGCCCTCCCTCTCAAGTTCTTCATTCCTTCAAAGAAACCTGTCTTAAGAAAACCATGGAGCTGACATTTTTGAAAATACTAGTTGCCTGGCTGGGTATGACTGTAAAAACACCACATTCAAAGCATTCCATAACATCCTCACAACTAATGCTTTTAAAAGAAGAGCTCAGCAATCTCCTTGACCCTTTCATGGCAGGGATACACGTGTCAGGAACTTATACTATTATTTAGTCTTTGAAGGTATCAACATCTTTTATCTTCATGGACTCTAGTCTTCATTTACAGGTGTTTTGCCTTCACCAACAGTTATTTGTTACTTGATGGGATTTCTTCTTTGCTATATAAAAGTTCTTTTACAAATTTCCAAATAAAACATTGTATGGGTAAGTTAACTTTCCACATTTAGTGATATTACGTCAAATGGTATTCTACATGTGTTTGTCAATTTATATAGTCCAGGTTTTGCATTCTTTGCACAGTTTGTATCTCCATTTGATTGGTTGTTGTGTCCTCTGCAGATCCGTTCAGACAAGGACCGCGAGAGCATGATCCGGTACAGCATCACAGGTGTTGGAGCTGATCAGCCACCTATGGAAATTTTCAGTATAGACCCCATCTCTGGCCGTATGTATGTAACAAGACCGCTGGACAGAGAAGAGAGATCATCGTACCATGTAAGTTACAATATATTTGTACCTAATGTTATACTACCTGTAAAAAAACATGTTATTTTCTTCAAAACTATATTACAGGATGAAGGATTTGGTTACTATGCTTGGATGCTTTTGAACATAAGGTCTTTTGTATTCAGTTAAAAAGGCCACATTATTGAAAAAAAATGTACAGTGACATGGGGCCACTGCCGCTATATCTGGATGTCTGTTTTTTAATAGAAATCTGTACTATAATGGCACAGGTCTCATCATGTGTTTTGTATACAGTCTCACATTCCTCTAAATGCACTAAAAATGCATATGATAAGCATACATACATTATATTGCCACAAGTATTGGGCCCGCCCTCCAAATCATTGGATTCAGCTGTTCCAATCACCTCCATGGCCAAAGGTGTATAAAATCAAGCCCCTAGGCATGCAGACTGCTTCTACAAACATTGGTGAAAGAATGGGTCGCTCTCAGGAGCTCAGTGACTCCAAGCGTGGTCCCGTGATAGGTTGTCACCTGTGCAATAAGTCGATCCATGATATTTTCTGGTACTAAATATTCCACGGCCAACTGTTAGTGGGATTATAACAAAGTGGAAGCAACTGAGAACAACAGCAACTCAGCCGCTAAGTGGTAGGCCACGTAAAATGACAGAGCGGGGTCAGCGCATGCTGAAGCGCACAGTGCGTAGAAGTTGCCAACTGTCTGCAGAGTCAATAGCTAAAGACCTCCATACTTGGTGTGGCCTTCAGATTAGTACAACAACAGTGCGTAGAGAATGGGTTTCCATGACCGAGCAGCTGCATCCAAGCCTTACATCACCAAGTGCAATGCAAAGCATCGGATGCAGTGGTGTAAAGCACGCCGCCACTGGACTCTAGAGCAGTGGAGACGTGTTCTCTGGAGTAACAAATCACACTTTTCTGTCTGGCAATCCAATGGATGTGTCTATGTTTGGCATTTGCCCGGGGAACGGTACTTGCCTGACTGCATTGTGCCAAGTGTAAAGTTTGGTGGAGGGGGTATTATTGTTTGGGGTTGTTTTTCAGGGGTTGGGCTTGGCCCCCTAGTTCCAGTGAAGGGAACTCTTAAGGTATCAGCATATCAAGACATTTTGGACAATTTCATGCTCCCAACTTTGTGGGAATAGTTTGGGGACAGCCCCTTCCTGTTCCGACATGACTGCACACCAGTGTACAAAGCAAGGTCCATAAAGACATGGATGAGCGAGTTTGGGGTGGAAGAACTTGACTGGCCTGCACAGAGTCCTGACCTCAACCCCATAGAACACATTTGGGATGAATTAGAGTGGAAACTGCGAACCAGGCCTTCTTGTCCCACATCCGTGCCTGACCTCACAAATGTGCTTCTGGAAGAATGGTCCAACCTTCCCATAGACACCCTCCTAAACCTTGTGGACGGCCTTCCCAGAAGAGTTGAAGCTGTTATAGCTGCAAAGGGCGGGGTCAACTCAATATTGAGCCCTACGGACCAAGACTGGGATGCCATTAAAGTTCATGTGCGTGTAAAGGCATGCTGACCAATACTTTTGGCAATATAGTGTATGTCTCCTCCCCCCCCCCCCCTTTCTTCTTAGCAAGTTAAGGTAAATTCTAATGTTGGATGGTGTTAGAGCTTGCTCAGGTAGATGACTTCACTGCCCCTTACTATGTGACAGTATTCAGGCCTGGCAGTTGACCATTTTTAATGTGGCATCCAAAGATCCCTGCTTTGACTTTTAGAAGACTCACAATAAATGTGGACCTGAGCGGGGGCTCCTGTTGCTGCCTATTGCCCTGCTTATTCTAAGCACACCTAGGACTTCACCAGCTCTACCTTGTCCAATAGACATATACAGGCATTGTACATTTTCAAATGTTTTCATTGTTTTAAGTAGGTATTCGTGTAACTCTATTCCCTGTTTCGTTTGCCTTACCTTGTAATGACAAGCTCACATGTTGTGGTTGCAGTTTGTAGCATCAAGCTTGATCGATTACCCTATGTTCATGTAATAATTCACCTAGCTAGGGACAGTCAACCTCTTGCTCCGGGTCGCATGGCATGCCTTGCCATTTCCTTTGTGTTGCATCACAATTGCAGGAGTGCTAATGTGATGAAAATACATCTCTTCCAGCATGACAAGATTTCTGTTCATTTCTGACTGCCTGTGTCTGTTTCAGATCTAATTACTGTTTAGCTCTCACCTGCACCTGAGAGACTCCAGAGACTGAGAGACCCAGGGGTTGTAGGATATGTGGTTTCTTCACAGGAAGTGTCAGTTCTCACACTACAGACAGAGGTCATGCATTAACCTGTGCAGTGCCATGCTGCATGCCTCATCTGTCAACCCAATCCAACTGCTGAAATAGCAGTATAAAGATTTACTCTACTATAGGCAATGCATACAGGGCTACAAATGACACCTTGAAACTACATGATCAAATCAGTTTATAATGCCTTAAAAAAAGTATCAGAATGTTTTTATCTAGTTTTGGTGAAACCAGGGCAATTAGAATTGGAGGATTAGCCTCATAATAGCCCTTCCATATGTGTCCACCTGAGCCACTGAGGACACTCTGCCCTATGGCAGCAGAGGCTGCATAAGTACTACCCACCCGTCTGAATGTGATATTCCATTGTCTCCTCACCCCTGCAGAAATTGCAAGGGCAAGCAACGGTGTCTCTTGCCATGTTGCCTATAGCGTCAGATAAATGGAAAATCCAGTGAGCACACATTTATAAAATGAAAGCCTGTTTTTTAGGAGAGGAGTTGAATACATCCCTCTCCTGACTGAGCCGGCTGAGATGAGGGATATACCCTTGTAAAGGTGAAGTAGATGCGCCAGACTGATCAGTGCATGATGCTTCCGTATACTGACTGGTGTTCACACAGTGTAAGGATGATGGCACAGAATATTCATAGCATCACTGAAGCTACAGAGGCCTATTACAAAGCCTGGGAATTGTGTGATAAGCGCACCCTGAGGGGAAGATAAATACTCAGCCTCTCAGAACGGAGCGGCCAGCACAGAAATTACCTCATTCCCAAACAATAGTTTTTCATTTGGAGTCTGAGGCGGTAGTGTTTGTGGCTGGCCGCGAATCAAACCCGCCACTGTCTGTAGAGCGGGAGTTGGGCACATCTCACTCACAAATCACTGAAATTAAACTGGATTGTTATATAATGAGAAGTTCGGATTGTGGAGCCTGTTATAGGCGGCTTCGCGCTCAAACAAAAAACCAGCTGAGGTACTGATAAAGTCTTCTCCTGTCTATCCATGACCGAAAATCCTAAAACTCAAGTTTGATTGCATGCAAGAAATCTATGTATTAAAAATATTACACCTGACATGTTAGAATGGGATTTGCTGTGAAGTATCTTCTAATTTTGGGGAGGCACGTGAGCTTATCATTTCCGGAAAAAAAGCTTGTTTGAAGCATTTCTGTTTGTACTTTGTTGTCTTGTGGAGTCACTTCCATAGCTTTTCACTTGCTACCCAGACCTACCCAACCTAGAGCGTTGAAACTCAGACGCGCAAAAAGGTACTGACCGCAGATAGTCATTTAGAGTCGGGAAAAGGAGTGCGGAGTGTTAAAACCTCAGGGGTGTGGCATGTTAAAACCTCAGGGGTGTGGCATGTTAAAACTTCAGGGGTGTGGCATTCACTTATTGGTCCACCATTTAGAAATTCTATTTATTCAAAAATCTGAGTTCAATTCCAGGATACACCTGACCGCAGATAGTCATTTAGAGCCGGGGAAAGGAGTGCGGAGTGTTAAAACCTCAGGGGTGTGGCATGTTAAAACCTCAGGGGTGTGGCATGTTAAAACTTCAGGGGTGTGGAATTCACTTATTGGTCCACCATTTAGAAATTCTATTTATTCAAAAATCTGAGTTCAATTCCAGGATACACCTGACCGCAGATAGTCATTTAGAGCCGGGAAAGGAGTGCGGAGTGTTAAAACCTCAGGGGTGTGGCATGTTAAAACCTCAGGGGTGTGGCATGTTAAAACCTCGGGTGTGGCATTCACTTATTGGTCCATTATTTAGAAATTCTATTTATTCACAAATCTGAGTTCAATTCCAGGATACACCTGACCGCAGATAGTCATTTAGAGCCAGGAAAAGGAGTGCGGAGTGTTAAAACCTCAGGGGTGTGGCATGTTAAAACCTCAGGGGTGTGGCATGTTAAAACGTCAGGGGTGTGGCATTCACTTATTGGTCCACCATTTAGAAATTCTATTTATTCAAAAATCTGAGTTCAATTCCAGGATACACCTGCCAATTCATGTCCATCTCAAGGGACACATGCTTTTTTTTGACCAAACTACACAGTGAGGTCAAAAATTCCAGGTGAGGGCACATCTGCTGTTTGTGGTGGAGGATTTACATTGCATGAAGATATGAAATTGTGAAGTTGTTTTCAAGTTGGAGAAAAACGTTATATTTAAAGTCTTTTTTTTTACATATGTTCTCTATTTTCACATATGTTCATTTATTTCACGTATGGTCACTGTTGCTTAATTTACCAGCAATCGCATATTTAAAGAAAGAGCAGCACTGTATGTTATATGTAATAAAATTGAGAGTAATTTTGTGACAAAATCAATGTACCTGAAATGAATCCCTTCATCCCTCTTTCTGTGGGTCTTGGCCTCCCGTATGGTTGGACCTTTTAGCAGTTAGATAGCATGCTAGGTACACCCATGACCAGGCGATTTTTTTTTTAAGGGTCTCACATCTTCATGTGATTGTTTACTACATTTTCTGTTGCTGCTATTACAAACTAGCAGTCTCTTTCCTTTTTATCTTTCTTCTGTGATTTTTCCCCTAGAAAGCTCTATATTCAGGCACAGTTATTGCCATGGCCCCGGGATACAGCACTGTACTGTGTGTACTAAATTATTTTATATACAGAAATCAGTTTTATATTGTCTCTCAGGACGATGAAAATAAACATCTGTGTCCTTGTATCTAAAAACATATCTAAAAAGTGCAAGAGAGAGTC